TATTTATACAGAGTGGAATAGCTTCAATAGGAGCGATTTGAAAGAGGACACCCTGCAATACCCAGTACACTGATGATTAAGGGCACTCTGGAGCAGGGACTTGACCCTGGTTTTCTACAAGCCAGCTGAGTGGACTAACCACGGGGACATATACCATCACCACTATCTTCTCCTCTGTTTTGTGAACCTTACCTAACATTTCTGATTTTTTCCCACAGAACCAATTTGCTGACATCAACACACATTACTAAAATGTTTGCGTTGACTTGAATCTGCATTTTTCAGGGGGGAGGGGAAAAGATTTTAGGCCAAGATTTTCACACAGCTTTACTTTGAAATCTGCTTTGATTAACAGTCTTTTTTTTAAAATGTGAGCATAAGTGTAGTCCCGCAGAATCGGTTAAGTCTGGTAACGCTAATGAAGAGCAAGCAAAAATAATGGTTTTTATTTACCCACTCTAACATCTAAGAGGTGAGGACAGCTTGATGCAAATAATGAAAAACCACAAAACATTTTCCACTGCCGTTAACCACTTGAATATACCTATGCACATGCAGCACACATCCTCTGAAGCCTTGTGACCCTTTGTACTTAAATTCTGTGTCCTACTATTCTGCTGTGCTGACATTTTAAAATATGCTGTATGACATGCCTTTCTAAGGGCTTGGTGCTGGACAGGCATGGGAATGGAGTGCAAGCCATTAAATATAAACGTATTCAATTTCAGATTCAGTAAATCACCCATATGGAACAAAGGGTAACATCAGAGGCACATGAATTGTAGCAATAATACAGAAAAGGACAATAATCTAAAATATGACTACACAGGATACCTATCAGTTCGATTACGCAAATGAGTAGTCCCACTGAAGCTACAAGTTGCTCACATGTAGCAGCGTTCACAGGATCAGAAACTTTATTTGATATACTATAAAATGCACTGACCTGATTTTCTACAGGTTTGCAGTTTGTGTTGTCATTTTCACCTGTGCAAAGTGAGTATAAAACACTTCTACTCTTGTTAGATAACATTTTTACTTGCACTTTGCACATGGGTAAATGATTAAACAAGGTTCAAATCAGTGGAAGATTTGGACCTTTACTTGACCAGCTGAACGCAAGTGGACACACAAGATCTTCTGAACTCTTCTCAACTCCAGTTCTAAGGAGAGCTTGGTGCAGTTTAGACGGTGGGATAGAGAAGCCCAACATGGGCAGCGGGTAAAGCTTCCCCTTGGGAAGACTAGCTCTCTATTCCGCCTCTTCCGCCCGAGGCCCTGCCTCTTCTGCTTGCATCCCTGCCCCCGCTCCAGGCCCCACCCCTACCGCTCATTGTGTTCCTCCTCTTCTCCCGCAAGGCCTCCGCCACTCACCATGTTCCTCCTCTTCTCCACCCCCATTCCCTGCAAGGCCCCCACTGCCCACAGGGATGCGATGAATGGCAGGGGCTTGTGGGCGATGGGAGGGTGGAGGAGAGGAGATACACGGGGAGCAGCGGGTACCTCTGGAGGGGGGGAGTGGAGTGGAGGAGAGGAGGGACTCAGACAGACAGCGGCAGGTGTTGAGGTCCTTGGGGAAGGGTTGGAGCAGTGATGGGAAGAGGCAGAGTGCAGGCGGACCACCACAGCCCAGGCGTCCAGTGGCAGGTTGGCAGTGGCTGCGCTGGCCTATTATATCCGCTGTTTATGAAGCCCATCTTTGTTGCCCCTTGATCCTAAGCCAATCTGGTGCTGGGCCAGTGCCGTGCTGAAATTTAGAGCAGTCTTCAGCTTGCTCTAACTTGCACTGGCTGCCCAAAGGGCTGTTCTCAGAGATAAAATTTGTCAGAACATAGGGACACCGCAACCCTCTTTCCCCTCTGGTAATGCTTCTGGCACCACCTGAGGGGGTGAGGGGCGGACATATTGTAGGAGATGCTACAGTGACTGTGTCAGTCAAGCATCCCACTATGCTGGGGAGATCCTCCAAGAGTGTGAGGTCAGGTCGGCAGTCTTATGGCACTTTTGTTTCAGGAGAAGCTGCCTTCACCCAACCAAGGATCTAGCTCATGAAGTCCTTGGTTAAGGATGCCTAAAGCACAGTTGTTATGTTTAAATGCCTGAGCCTGCACCCCTTATTCATTCATTGAAATCACACTGGCTTCAATAGGACTACTTACATAGCTAAGGACTATTTGTGTAAGTAAGGTAGTAGGATTGGGCCCCAAACCTGGCCACCCTTTTTTCTTTTAAGTCAATTGCCAAATGTTTCCATGCTACAATTCCACTCGACTTGTTCTTTTACATAGCTCTTATGGCAACCAATGTACCCTCTCAATTTTCTTTGCACTGAACAGGCTACAAACTCCACTGAGCATTACATTTTTATCCTTCTCCTTTATTATTTTTTTAAAAGTCTTCTTACACTGAGTTAACTTGTCACTGTACTGCTACAACTGTATATGTGCACTGAGAAGAAAATATCTTAGCAAGGTCATGCCACATATGAATGAAAACTCACGTGAGCATTTAAATTAACTTTGTGCTGAATGTCCCTCTTGAGCTGACCATTGGGAGCATTTGCCGATAGGGTGACGATGTCCCAATTTTATAGGGACAGTCCTAATTTTGGGGGCTTTTTCTTATATAGGCATCTATTATCCCCCACCCCCTGTCCCGATTTTTCTCACTTGCTGTCTGGTCACCCTATTTGCTGATCATTCTGATCTTGCATTTTTCTTTTTAAAGCAGAGCATGTCCTATTTTTCAAATTAATCTATAATTAATTCATTTAGAAAATAAAAAGTTAAGACTCCCTTGCTGGATTACTGGCAGGCTACAGTCAGTGGTTTATTTCTGAAGGTTTCATGATCTGGAGTATATTTTTCTGGCATTTCTATGTATGTACACTTTGACACATCTCCAGCAGTAAAACCAAATCTAACAATTTAAATTGCAGAGAGGGTAGGCGTCAGAAACCAAATCATGTTTCTTGCTGCATTTTATCAAACCTGACTTGTAATTAATAGCTTATTTTTTTTATATTTCATACTTTTGCTTTCATAAATGTTTGTAATACATTTCCTCCCCCATCAACCAGGCTCTGGTTTATTTCAGTTCTAATTTTCCAAACTTTTAATGTCAGAACACCAAACTTCATTGAGTGCATCCGATGAAGTGGGCATTCACCCACAAAAGCTTATGCTCCAATACATCTGTTAGTCTTAAAGGTGCCACAAGACTCTCTGTTGCTTTTTACAGATCCAGACTAACACAGCTACCCCTCTGATACCAGTCCTGATGGACATCCAAAGCCACATTTTCAAAAGACCTCAGTGCTCAATCATTCCCATTTAAGCACCTAAGTTAAGTGGCCAGATTTTCAAAGAGCTCAGAATCCAGCAGCTCTCAGTGGGAGTCTTGCCACTCATTTGGAAGCTTATCTTTTTTGAAAATCTGGCCCATTGTGATCCAAATTCTGCCCTCGTTTACACCCACATGATCCCTGAATTTTTTTTTTCCATTTTACTGTTCCTGAGCCTGATTCTGAAAACTTTTACTCTCCCACGTATTCCCACGGACTTATAAATGAGACTTAGTGAGTCAGGAGTACTTGTGTCAGGATCAGGCTCTCTGTATGCCTCTGATTTAACTCCAGCCCTGACCTCAGATCCTTACACTGATACCCTAACTCCATCAGAGTGAAATGTCTGGCAGGATGTACAGTTGTAAGAGGAAGCAGGGGAGCCACTGGCTGACCAGCTCCTGACACTTGGGATCACCCCGGCCCCCGAGCCAGGACTGAACTTGCCCCAGCTCAGCCTAGGAGGAGGAGGGTATGACCAGGACCCCATCTGGGGGGGCCAAATGCTTCCACTGCAGGGAGCCGCTGTGTGACACAGCCACCGTGCTAGGGCTGAACCTGTGCCCACGGGGAGAATTGGGCGGCTGGGCAAGTAAGGGATAGGACATGTTGGGGTGGGTGCTCTGCAAGGTGAGCTACAGAGACATGGCTGGGGGTGGCGCAGCTGGCTCCAGGCTGGGAAGCAGGGTCCTAATGGTTTGTGACTGTCTTGCCATGGGTAGTTGCTTCCCAGTCCCAGCTCGATCACCCCAGTTCCAATCCTACCCGATCCCTGGCCTGATCCAGAGTGCCTCTGCAGCTGTTCCGCCCCTCAGGTCCCGCTCTCATCTCCATCCCCAGCAGCATGGAGTCACCAGCCCTGTCCCAGAGACAGAGGAAGTTGTGAGAGGCATGGTTTGTGACATGCACAGTATATGGGAGATTGCTGCACAGCCACACGTGTGTGCAGTTTACAGGGAATGTTGGTGGCACCACAGTTTTCCCATTTCTGTCATATCAAGGATGTGGAGAATTACACAAACATACTGCTTCAGACCTTACTCAATGGAAATATAAAACATCACATTATTATTATTATTATTTATTATCTGTATTACCATAGTGCATATGAGCCTTAGTGCTAGACCAGGACCGCATTCTGTGTTTGACTGTGCCAGTAGAAATTTCTTACTATTTAACACAGTGGTCTCGCCCCCCTCTTCCCTCTGTCCATGCCTCCTCCCCTCTCCCTGGAGCCGCAGCTGGAGGGGAGGGGGACATGGACTGGGGTAAGGGGCCGAGGCTAGGGCTGCAGCTGGGGGGTGAGTCTGGGGCAGGGCCAGGTGCAGAGCTGTGACTGGGTCATGGCTAGGGGTGGGGCCTGATCAGAGCTGGGTGTGGCGCAGGGCTCAGTGGCACTTCCTCCTCACCCCCTGTGGGGGCTGGCCCGGCCCCACCACACATCTCTGAATGTTTCTCCCGCACCCCACAGTTTGGGGACCTCTGATTTAACAGATAAAATTTCCTGACTCCATGAGCACTGAGCACGTTCCATCCCATCACAGCTTCTAGTACTGATCTGACTAAAGTTGCCTGTGCAATCTTAACTTGGCCCCTTTGTGCATATGCATTCTGATACAGTCTTTACTTATATGATCACATACTATTTTTTCTACAGGACTCCGCCTCATTCAGGGCACAGATGGCCTTCTCCGGGGATGAATCAGTGTTGTGCTATAAACTGTTGTCTGCAAGACCCTGCCTCATCTGCTGCAGAAGCTGGTAGGTGTGTAATGAATGAGGCAGGAAGATCAAAGCAGGTCTCATGGTTAAAGCAGTTGAATGTTGCCATGGAAATCTGAATCTAATTCCTGTTTCTGCCACTGGAGTTCCTGTGTGATAGTAAGCAAGTCACTTAAACCAAACCTTTCACAGGTGGTCACTAATTGTGCATGCTCATTCAGTGGGTGCCTGACTTGATACCCTGAAGTCTGACTTGCAGAAGTGCTGAATGCTCATAGCTGCAACTGAAGTCAATAGGAGCTGTGCTTGGACATATAAAGAACTCTATAATGCTGAAAAAAATCAGGTTCTATGTATTTCAAATTGTGCACCCAAAATTAGTGGACACTTTTTGATCTTAATCGCACAGTGTCTTAATTCCCCATCTGTAAAGTGTGGTTAAATAATACCCTCTCACTTCACAGCAGTGTTCTGAAGATTAATTAATTAATATCTGTGAAGCACTCAGATACTAGAGTGATGTGGGCCATAGACAGACCCCCTGAGGAAATTAATAAATCTGTCTTCAAAACAGGGTTTGAATAGTATGCAGTAAATAAGCCATAGACCCACACAGTGAACAATGAGGAGAAAACAAAATATTGAACAACTGCTCAGTAAGACAGCACTGTCTACCTTTTTCTTTATGAGCCCCCTCACCACCACCCCGCACATGTTATAAAAAACTCCACTGCCCAGCTATGCCACAACTTTTTTCTGCATATAAAAGCCAGAGCTGGCATTAGGGGGTAGCAAGTAAGGCTATTGCCCTGGGCCTCACACCACAGGGGGCCCCGCAAAGCTAGGTTGCTCAGGCTTCGACTTCAGCCCCAGGTGGCAGGGTTCAGAGTCCCAGGTTTCAGCCCCACATGGTAGAGCTTCGGCTTTCTGCCTTGGGCCCCAGTGAGTCTAACACTGACCCTGCTTGGTGGCCCCCCCAAAACCCATTTGCAGCCCCCCCAGGGGGGCCCCGGATCCCTGGTTGAGAATCACTGGTCTATCCTATGAACTGAATAAGGTAGGGGGTCCTGTGGAAAAAAATAGTATGTGATCCTGTAATTGGAGACTGTATCATAATGTATATGCATAAGGGGGCCAAATTATGGTTGCAGAAATAATCTTAATTCTGGTGTTTTCTAACTTCTGAGTGCTTGATTTTGCAACCTTAATAACGTTCTTTTAACAAGCTATTTTGTGATAATATACATTAAAATCAAATAGGAAAAAACTAACCAACAATCTGTTTTAGTTCATATTTGACATAGAAAAATATAACACTACTGGAACAAAAAGTAGAAAGTTTACAGAGTTGTTGTGCCCTTATCATGCCCCCTCAACTCCCCCCACGTCCTCAGAATATAAGGACAAAGGTTGTTTTCAGAAGGTGCCCTTAATGGCATTTTAACAGTTACTGCTGTCTATTTCCCCTCTCCAGTTGAGTAGAATTTACTTCTAAAATAAACCATTTAACATAAAAAAACCCCCCATCATAATAGTTTCAGCTTGTTACTGAAAGCTAAATCCGTATAAAACCTCAGTATATGACCCTGAAGCTGGGAAACATGGATTGTTTAGAATGTTCCTCTGAAATAGCCTCTTATTTTGTTGAATAGATTTCTAAATTATATATATTACTAAAAACGCACCCATCTGTTTCTGAATATTTCTATGCAGATAACAATTCTGTGGAAGGGAGAGGAAGTTGGAACTAGGGAACTGACCAAATCATAGTGTTGGCAGAGGTGATAGATGGCTCTGTTTATCAACCATGGAAACTGATACTAGCAGTTCTACAAAGTTGCAGCAGGAACATTTACTCTTTAGATATTTCATTGCATACAGACAACAATTAAAATGAGATGGGGATTTTTTGGCAAACTACACAATCTCTATTTTTATAAATAAAATAAACACGAAAAGAAAGTGTGCAGTGATTATAGGAGAGGGTATTACTGTACACAATAAATGAAATATGATCTACCTATTGCTATGTATCTAAAGATTCCACAGAACAGTCACCACAACAGCTGTCTTTAGAGAATAATAAAGAAAAGGCATGAAGTGTGGAAAAGGTATTGTCTTATCTTATAAAACATATGATCTTTTACCCACTATTCTCTAAACACAAAAACAGTTTCAGCCATGACAGTTCCTGTTTCAAATGTCCAGCCCTAACGCCTGATTTTACAACAATATGTTTTTGCACTACAAGATTACAGCAGACAAGACCAGGACTTCATTTGATTTACTGACTGATTCTGTTCTGTTTCCTTTTAAAGATAAAGAATGTGTTCAAAGTTGCCTGAGTGTGAGAATGTGATCACTTCTTGGAAAGCTTCCTTCACTCTGGGAACCATCTAAGAAGCTATTTCTAAATTATATCAGAGCACATCCCTTCCCTATTCTTCCCTATGGATGAGTACCAGCACTCTTAACTCTGAGAGCTGTATCTATATATAAATAATCGGTTTTGCAAGTAAGGTAAGTGAGAGGTTGCAAGAGATAGTTAAAGACAGACATAGGAGAAGAACCCAATATAACAGACAAAGTCTCACTTAACTGCACTGCTTTCAGAATGAATGTCTACTGTGTGTGCTTGATTACAATATCTGCTGCTTCAACTGCTAGGCGACATTCTCCTCTCAGAGATAGGGACAGAATCTAGCAGTCCAGACTTTCAGTTCTGCCCAGCTCTAACCAACAGATGACCCTTTCCACTCTACAACTCTGGATATGTTCAGATTTGGATAGATGCATTTGTAGTTATTCAAATGCATGCACCTCATCCTCTTTCTCTCCCCTTACTATATATTAAAAAGAAGATTTGGACAATGGAGAGCAAATCCTTAGATAACTTGTCACCTGTGGCAATGTTACCTCGTATACACTACTCAGGGTATGACTACACTGCAAAAACAACTCCCGTGGCAGTGCTGAGTCTCAGAGCCCAGGTATACAGATTTGGGCTTGTGGGGCTCACGCTACAGCGCTAAAAATAGCTGTGTAGATGTTTTCACTCGTGGCACTCACGCTCTGAAACCAGATGTTTGTGTGTGTGTGTGTCTTACACCCCACACTGGAATGTTTACACTGCTATTTTTAGCTCAATAACATATATCTTAGTCTATAGACCCCAGCGCTGGGTTTTGGCCCGGGGGGGGGGGGGAGGGGGGGTTGTTTTTTGTTTTTGTGTTGTAAATGTACCCTTAGCTTCTCAAAGAGGTTTCTCACTAAACAATCACGCTTTCTCACTCTCTTGCAGGCTATTAGTTTGGAAAAACTTATGAAGAACAAAGGAGGTGCTATAAGAATGGCGAGAAACAAATGTGGTGCCTATCTTCAAAAAAGATAAGACAACTTGTATTGGCAATTATTATTATTTGTACTTCGGTAACATCCAAAGGCCCCTTGCTGGATCAATAACCCACTGTGCTAGGTGCTATTCAAGCACAAACAAAGGTATGATTCATGCTCCAAATATCTTGCTTCTAATTTATATTCTTAATAAAAAATGGAAACTCTGAACATCCAAACCACATTTTCAAACCCAGGTGCCAAAACTAAGCTAAATCTCTTTTTAGACATCCAGATAATGCCACTAACTTGGGCACCTAAACTGGACCTAGCTTTAGGCCAGCCATGTTTGAAAATTTTGACCCTAAAGGATAACATAATCCTAGGTAGTAAACAATCTGGGTTTATAAAGAACAGATCTTATCAGATGAGCTTGCTTTTTTAAAAAAAATTATAAAATGCTTGGTGTAGATATTATATGTTTGAATTTAAGCAGCATCTCATGAAACCTTACTCTGAAGATCACTCAAATTGAGAAAATTAATGTAAACTGAAAGCTGACTGAAGAACAATAAGCAAGGGTAATGATATACAGCCTTGTAGCTATTTGTGGAGTGCTACAGGCATTGGTGTGAAGCCTTGTTTCACTTGCCATCTTTACTGGTCTGGAAGAAATCATGTTGCAGACACCACTGAAGATAGTAATATAGTACAAAATATCATAGAGTTGTTAAAAACATAGACAGAAAACAACAAAATGAGATTCGGCTCAGAAAAACACAAGCTATAACAAAAATAATTTCTAACACTAATTCAATGGGAGGGATTAATATGAAAGCCAAAATGTTGAAAAAACCCTATGGATAATAATGAACAGCAAATTACACATAAGCTTGAAATGTGGTGTCACCAAAAAGACCAACGCAGTTTTGAGCTGCATACTTAGCGCTTGTGTATACAATGATTTAGCAAGCCGGAGTGTGAGTCTACAGCACTCTAGCTAGCCTGCCGTGCACTAAGTGACCATGCTGCTGCACACTAAAAGTTCCATAGTGCACTTCCATCTACTGAAATTTCAAAGAGCAAGTAGATCAAAGCGTACAATGAAACCTTTAGTGTGTGGCAGCATGGTCCTCATAGCCACTTAATATACAGCAGGCTAGAATGCTTTGCTTGCGACACACTAAATCACAGTATAGACAAGCAGGGCCGGATTAACCTTTTGTGGGCCTGGTGCCAAACATATTTGTGGGCCCCCCATGGGGGCAATGGAGCATGGCGAGGGGGAGTCAGTCCCCAGAGCGAGGGGCCAGCCAGGGGCCATATGGCATGGCAAGGGCAGCCCCCATCTGCCCAGCCCAGTGCAAGGGCACTATTTACAAACCGGCAGTTGCCAGACGCACAATGGCCCACCCGGCCCTGTGCTGCAAGCATGCCCCTTCCCCTCAGGGGTGGGCCCATGCGGTGACACATAGCTCCCCTGCCCAACACCAGAACACCCCCTACCCCGATTCCCTATGGCCAAAGCTCCCCCCCAGACCCGCTATGCCCAGCACCCCCCCCCGGCCCTGCCACAAATGCACAGCGCCTTGCACAACACCACAACTTCCCAGTACCCCACACAGAACACCCACTCCCTAGTGCCCCAACACACAGAGATCTTCCCTGCCCCCTCACAGCGCAGCACCCACCCCAGGCCCTCCAGAGACCCACTCCCACGCACCCTGCCTCCTGGCCCCACTCACCGGCCCTGCTGGGAGGCAACTGTGTCTGTCGGGCTGAGCTGCCAGGGCTGGCCCTAGGCCAAGGAATCACTCTGGCCCCTTGGGAGTGGCGTGATCAGCCAGGCCAGGGCCTGCCCTGCTCAGGCTCCATCAGGACCCACTTGCTGGAGGGGCCCAGCCAAGCCCCCCACAGTGTCTCCCCCTCCCCCCAACTGACCGAGAGTGGCCAGGCTTCTGCATCAGTCCCAGGCGGCTCAGCTCCAGGGAGACAGGTGGAGCCTAAAAGTTGGTGGGAAGCAGAGACTGCCTGGAGCCGGAGGTGCACTGGGGTCTGGCCAGGAGCCAGAGAAAAGCTGGCGGGTCGGGCTAGGGGGTGGAGAGGAGCCCTTGGCTGGCCGACAAGTAGGGCGAGAGGAGCAAGGGGTGGGGGGAGAGCCAGCGGACTGGCGGGGTCTCAAGGCACAGTGCAAGCAGAGCAGGCCGGGGCCCCTTCTGAGCATGGGCCCAGCTCCATGGCACTACTGGCGCCATTGTAGACAAGCTCTTACAAGTACCATGTCATGGAGCAGGAAGGTAGCAGTTCCGCTGGATATGGTTCTGGTATGATCATACCTGGAATTCTGCACTAGGTTCTGGGCACTTTACCAAAAATATCTCTGCAAACTGGAAGGAGTTCAGATAAAAGTAACAAAAATTATTTGGAGCGACTGACTCATGAGGAAAGATTAGAAAGCTAAGTAAGTACAGCTTGGCAGAGTAATGACTAAAGGTTTCATGATACCATTTCAGAAAATTCAGCTGCTCTGCAAAAATGTGAAAGGTGTAAACACCAAGGAAGAAGAATTATTTAGGGAGGTACAAGGATGCATAAGTAAGAGTAATTAGGAAAGGGAAAATATAGTCAGAATATTAGGAAAAATTTCTGTGTGTTAGATTCTGGGATGTTTTCCCAAGGAAAATGACAGAAGTCTTAGAAGCTTAAAACCAGATAACACAACATATGAGTGCATGTACTTGAAGCACCAATGCTTGAAGGGGGATGGACTAAGGACCTGCTAGGTCTTTTCCATATCTAATATTCTGTGATTCTAAGTTTTTGCTCTAACAGTGACTCTCAACCTGACTCTCTAGAGTAACATATGTTTCTTTGGAGTCTACAGATTTAATAAGTGTTCCTTTCACTTTGCCTGGTGCAGGAGAGGAAGGATAGGCACAACTGAACATACCAGATCAAGCAACATATCTCCTTGTCTCTCCAACAGACCAGGCTGTATGAAGAAAGTGGTGTCTAAAATGTATCCCTTTTCATCCATCATTACCCAACTTGCTAATTCATAGAAACGTGTTTTTTTGTAAACAGACATATTTATTATTATAAAACCAGCAATTAATAAATATATATACACAGAATATGAACTTATGTGATTTATAGGCAGAGCCAATAATCAAAGTGCCTGATGCTTTCCATTATAAGACCCTGTATTCAGTTTCTTATAAGATTGCCAAATATTAACTTTTAGGCTGAGTTTTTCCATGTCGGATGTCAAACTGAGTAATTTTGGATAGTTTCAGCTAAAATGGTTCAGCCATTTCTGAAAACAAGATAGGAAAAAAATATTTTGTTTGGTCCATGTGTTAAAACAATTCTTAAGACTATTTGGTTGAAAAGTTCTAGCACATCCGTACTTTGGAAAAACTGGACTGTGCATGCACCATCCCCACAAAGGCCTGGTCCCCACTAAGCCCCCACTTCGGACTAAGGTACGCAAATTCAGCTACGTTAATAACGTAGCTGAATTCGAAGTACCTTAGTCCGAACTTACCGCGGGTCCAGACGCGGCAGGAAGGCTCCCCCGTCGATGCCGCGTACTCCTCTCGGCAAGCTGGAGTACCAGCGTCGACGGCGAGCACTTCCAGGATCGATCCGGGATCGATTTATCGCGTCTTAACCAGACGCAATAAATCGATTCCAGAACATCGATTGCCTGCCGCCGGACCCTCCGGTAAGTGAAGACGTACCGAAAGTGATTGGGTGTGCTCTATCCCAGAGTTGCAGAGGCTGCGCAGGATTTCCCTGTAATTCTTCCTCCAGGCTTCCATGGGACACTGTGATGCTGGGTCGAGGAACTGAGTGCAGATAGCCTCTCCCTGTGTGTTCAGTGGTACCCTTGCTGGTTCTCAGGCAGTGTGGAGGACGAGACAGCAGCAGCCATACTAGTTGCAGAGGAGTGAGGAATGGGGGTAGGCTAGAATGGGGTGGTTGAACAGGCAACCTTAATTCTGATGTTTCCTAACTTTTGAGTGCTTGGCCTTGAAAGCCTATTGCTCTTTTAATGTAGTTTTTTTAATGTAGAATCATAGGACTGGAAGGGACCTTGAGAGGTCATCTAGTCCAGTCCCCTGCACTCATGGCAGGACTAAGTATTATCTAGACCAGTGCTCTCCAAATTTTTTTGATTGTGCACCCCCTGCCGCGCCGGCTCTACCAATTTTGCCAAAGCAAAAAAAAAAAAAGACCTCCCGCTCGAACTGACGCAAAGCCAAAAAAAAGCTCCTCCTGCTGCGCACCCCCCCAAGATCCTCTTGCGCACCCCACTTTGGAGACCACTGCTCTAGACCTCTGGTTCCCAAACTTGTTCTGCCGCTTGTTCAGGAAAAGCCCTTGACGGGCCGGGCCGGTTTGTTTACCTGCCACGTCCGTAGGTTTGGCCAATCGCGACTCCCAGTGGCCGCAGTTCACTGCTCTAGGCCAATGGGAGGTGCTGGAAGCGGCGCAGGCCGAGGGAAGTACCGGCCTGGCCCGCCAGGGCTTTCCCTGCACAAGCGGCGGAACAAGTTTGGGAACCACTGATCTAGACCATCCCTGACAGGTGTTTGTCTAACCTGCTCTTAAAAGTCTCCAATGGTGGAGATTCCACAACCTCCCTAGGCAATATATTGCAGTGCTTAACCACCCTGATAGTTAGGAAGCTTTTCCTAATGTCCAACCTAAACCTCCTTTGCTACAATTTAAGCCCATTGCTTCTTGTCCTAACCTCCGAGATTAAGAACAACAATTTTTCTCCGTCCTTCTTGTAACAACCTTTTATGCATTTGAAAACTGTTATGTCCCCTCTCAGTCTTCTCTTTTCCAGACTAAACAAACCCAATTTCTAGACCTTTAATCATTTTTATTGCTCTTCTCTGGACTTTCTCCAATTTGTCCACATCTTTCCTGAAATGTGGCGCCCAGTTGAGGCCTAATCAGCGCAGAGTAGAGCATATATGTAGTGTGCATATGTGTGAATTATTTTTATTATATATATATATATATATATTATAGAAGCACAAGTCACACGTCCATAGTTTAGTTTGAGTTTTGCACTTAAAGTAGAGATTCAATCACTGTGTTACGTATGAAGAATAGCAAGTATTCACACCAAAATTTCAGAATGATTTTTCTGAGATTGTACAATTAAATCCATTCATTAGTTCAGGGGGTTAAAATTAATTAAAATGGGTTCTTTAAGAAATTTAGCACCTTACGTCAGTCCATTTTTTGTCCCAAATTATTTTACTAACACATTAAAGGAGAGTCTTCAAATTTCCCACATGCTTAAAAAAAATCATTTGAAATCTCCTGCACAGGCTACATTTGAAGAATTTTTTAGGATTAATGTTCAATTTTGCTATTAATCAATGTAACTAAAAGTTTCTTCTTTAGCATAGGCTGAGGAATAACGTTCTTCTACAGACAATTTTATGAAGAACTATCCGTTTTCAAAAGGTGTGTGTCTGTGTATACACTGAACACACACACTTTTGTATATAATTATATAAATATAGAGACTTAAGAATAGATAATTATATTGGGAAGGGTTGATGGTTGATGCTGATATAGGGTCAAATAGTGCTGCAGACCTGGGCATGAAACCATCTTCCCTCAGGAAACAACAACTAGTAGAGGTAAAGTAGCACATCTCCTCAGTAACACCAGCTACAAGCACAGGGAAACCAGTCCTCTACTCACTAAACTGGCATTCTACAGAATACCGTGTCAAATGCAAGGTCTTGACCCTTGTCTTCAAGATTCTCAATGACCTGGGCCCAGAATACCTAAAATACCACCTAAAGCTCCAGGACGATGACCACCAGACAATTTCACACCACAGATACAATGAAACTGTTCACCAAAAGGATAAGTGCTTGTCTGTGCAGGAGAACAAGACATTGGAATGAACTAGCATATGCCTATTTCCTATTCCCAACAAAAGGCACAATTCTTTGACTTTGCCTGCATTATATAAACACGTAGCACAGTGTGCATATAATTTATATTTTAAAAAATTAATAAAACCTCACGCCGTCACACTTTTCCACAGCAAGATGATGGGAGAAAGAACAAGCCACACAGAGCAGATATTAGCTATCTAATTATATTACTCTGACTTGGCTTTGTCACCCACCTAGTAGTCTGAAGAGTTTTTCTATCATCTACCACCAGTGACGACTGTCTCAACTATCTAACATGCACTTACTCAATTTAACTTAATCTAAGTTTTATTCATCACTCATTCTAACCCACTCAGTCCCTACATACTGGTGTCACTACATTGTTAGCTATTCCCTAATTAAAATGAATGCATTCTTGCTATACTGGGCTTAAAATATATGCATTAATGTATAATAATTTAGGATCTTTTCCCTCTAGTTTACTATAACAACCATTTCCCTCATACCATACCAAGACGTGCCTGAAAGTCACATGCTTCTAAATAGGTCCATCAAGTGAGTAAAAAAAAAAAATGGAAATAATTGCACAATTTAAAAAATTTAAGCGCAATTAATCGTGCAATTAATTGCACTGTTAAACAATAGAATAACATTTATTTAAATATTTTTGGATGTTTTCTACATTTTTATATATTGATTTCAATTACAACACAGAATACAAAGTGTACCGTGCTCATTTTATATTTATTTTTGATTACAAGTATTTGCACTGTAAAAAACAAAATAAATAGAATTTTTTAATTCACCTAATACTATAGTGCAGTCTCTTTCTAATGAAAGCTGAACTTACAAATGTAGAATTATGTACAAAAAAACTGCATTCAAAAATAAAACAATGTAAAATTTTAGAGCCTGCAAGTCCGCTCAGTCTTACTTCTTGTTCAGCCAATTGCTCAGACAAACAAGTTTGTTTACATTTGCAGGAGATATTGCTGCCTGCTTCTTGTTTACAATGTCACCTCAAAGTGAGAACAGGTGTTCTCATGGCACTGTGGTAGCCAGTGTCACAAGATATTTACATGCCAGATACTAAAGATTAAAATGTCCTTTCATGCTTCAATCACCATTCCAGGGGACATGCGTCCATGCTGCTGACAGGTTCTGCTCGATAACAATCCAAAGCAGTGTGGACTGATGCATGTTCATTTTCATTATCTGAGTCAGATGCCACCAGCAGAAGGTTGATTTTATTTTTTGGTGGTTCGGGTTCTGTCGTTTCCGCATCAGAGTGTTGCTCTTTTAAGACTTCTGAAAGTATGCTCCACATCTCATCCCACTCAGATTTTGGAAGGCACTTCAGATTCTTAAACCTTGGGTCAAGCGCTTTAGCTATCTTTAGAAATCTCACATTGGTACTTTCTTTGCGTTTTGTCAAATTTGCTCTGATAGTATTCTTAAAA